CGATTAAAGTTTTGGTTGCATCGGTTTGGCCTAGAAAGCATAAAAATTGTTGGTGTTCATTTATATAACATAATCGCCAAATAGTTACCATTTTGTGCAGAACGATGAAGAGGTGTACGTTTGTCATCGTCTTCAGCATTTACGTTGGCTCCATGGTCGACTAGGTACTTGATCGCTTCTGTGTTACCTAGAATGAAAGCGGGAAAGTATTTCGATTAAAATTCATTTAAAACAAATATTCTAAATTCAAAAAAGGGTGTGCGGTTATACCGCACTCAGCGGTATAATGAAGCGGTGTATTTTTATTTGCAGATGTCGAATTAGCATTGGCTCCCCCATCGATGAGGGTTTTGATCACAGCTGTATGATCTACAAAGCATTGAATTTCATTAAATATATATTTTCACAATTTGAAAAGGTTAGATTTACCAGCCATAGTAGCCCGTAGAAGAGGTGTAAGTTTGTCTTCATCTTCAATATCCACATTGGCTCCATGTGCGAGTAGATATTTGACTTTATTCACATTACCTAAAAACCATGAAATTAGTGTCATTCTCTGATATATATCTGACTATGGTCAATTTATTGTTACCTCTTCTCACGGCACTCATGAGCTGTCGATCCAAGCCAGTATCGTAACGTGCAGCTTTCAATTCAACACTAAAAAATAATAACACCAAAAAATACTTCATTTCTGTTATAGAATGAAATCGTTGGATTTTTTTTTTTAATGAAATCACAATTCACGTTATAATCCCTTTAATAACTTGTAAGTGTCAATTATTCAACTTTATTTTATAATACCACTGCTTTCATCCCCAATTTTATGAGACTTGTGACTTTCTAAATCATTCTGCTCTTCTTTTATGGGCAAATATATTTTCATGTGTCGATTTGTTTGTGCATTACGAAAATAAAAACTATTTTCTTGATATTAGACTATCGACATTGTGAGATAGTAAAGAGATGTAAGGTCGATTCTCTCCCTCTCTTCGTCATTCCAGTTCTAACGTGTTATGCATATAAGAGACGTTCTTTTTGTTTTATTAACTTTCAATGCTACTACGCACAAACAACTTGTTTGTTTGAAAATGAATATGATCTACAATCAGCACATTGGGTCGTTTGACATAGCGGAATAATAAAATCAAATAAAAAACCTCTATCAAGGTGAAGAACGAGTGACGAGACCA